GAGAGGGGACTGACGATGGGAGGGAGGAGAGAACCTCCGGCTCCCTGATACCTCAGGTGGCGATGGCCGCCGATCTGGCTCAGTCGCCCTGCTGCTGCTCCGCTCGCCACTGCTGCGCTAATGCTGCGCTACTGCTGCCTGCTCCTCGCTCCTGCGCTAAGAATAGTACCAGCGCTAATGTGCGCTGTACCATACCGTACCGGTAGAATGCCGGTAGGTCGATAGCCTCACTGAGGCTGGACCGGTACTTTTGTACCGGTGGGCAGAGGTCGGCCTCTATGCTGCGAGGCCTGACCGTGCCCTGAACCGTCCAGATGGACGGTTCAGCCCCAACCGGYGGGCGGCAGCCTCAAGACCGCCGCCAGGCCCAAACGGTAATATCGTTTGGGCCGGCCCGTCGGGTCTGGTCCAAGGTAAGGCCTTTACAGCCTGTAGTACCCCCAAGGTCGGGCCTTTGGCCCTACTGTGTCCCTCTACCCCTATGTCGGGTCCGGTAGGACCCGTGTGGCGTCGAAGATGTAACACACTCCCCCTCTTAAAAGACCGAGCTACCTGCGAGGGCGGAGTTGTCTATCCGATACCGGGATGGGTCGGGTGGGACGAGCTGCTGCCTTGGCAAGTCGTGTCTTCTCATAGTTGGCGAAGATGAGGGGTGCAGAAGTCTGCAAGTCTGCACTAGAGATCCACCGAGTGTCGTCAGAAGCACATTGCTTGAATGTGACTTTGTACTGCATTGGCTTGTTGCCATACTTGCGGTGCGTGATGACTCGGTCCACTTCCTGATGTCCGTCCATAGAAGGCGGATCCTGAGATCGACGTCCGGGAAACTCGTCAACTGAAGGTGGCGTGTAGATGGCCAGCTTCGATGCGTGGAAGACCCGATGCACTGTAAGGTGCGGTGGAATGTTGATCACGAAGGAAGGACCTGCGGGGTCGTCTCCAACGGCAGAAGTGACTTCCCATGGTCCGAACCATTTCCGAAGGAGTTTGCGCGAAACGTCCTGCTCGAGCGCAAATTCCTCGGAGAGGACCCAAACAAGGTCTCCCTCGCGGAAAGGACATGGAAGTCGACGTCGGTTAGCCTGCTGCTGCATGCGGATCTGAGCCTTTTGCATATTTGCGCGGGCTTTGATCAGCAAGTCCCGGTACTTCCGAACGGAAGCGGGAGAGCAAGGGACGTCTATATCGGCAGCCTGTGGCAGAAGGAGATCAGCGAAGATCCGTGCTTTCTCTCCACCATGATGTAGCTCGAATGGTGTGATGCAGATCGTCGGGTGCACCCAAGTGTTATAGGCGAACTCGATGTCGGGAAGCCGGTCAACCCAATCTTTCTGGTCGGGACGAATGAGCGTATGCAACATCATCTGAGCGGTCTCGTGCGCTCGCTCCGTCTGGCCATCCGTCTGCGGGTGCCGAGCCGAGCTCGGCTTAATTGTCGTACCGGACTCAGCCATGAGGGAAGTCCAAAAGGTTGACATGAAGCGAGTATCTTGGTCACTCACTATGTCCTCCGGAACACCCTGGTTGGTAATCCAGCCGGTGTGCAAGAGTCATGCGAGCTCGGGTGCTGCAGCATGATACTTGCAAGGAAGGAAGCAAGCATACTTGCTCAAACGGTCAACGACCGTGAGAATACCGTCATGGCCATGGCGATGGCGGGGGAACGGGCGGGGGAACGGGCCTGTCACGTCCATAGCAACGGTTTCAATTCGCCAAAGGGGACTCGAGATCGACCCTTGTTACGGTGGCAAACTGCACATGACTCCATGTACCTCGTGACGTCATGAAGGACGTCGGGCCAGTGAAAACGCTGTCGGAGGCGTGCTAATGTGCGATTCACGCCAAGGTGTGCCGAAAGTCGTGCATCGTGGAATTCGCCGGGAAGACGAGTCCGTAAGATGCGATCTTGGGGCACAATTAACAAGTCCTTTCCTCTCGTGTGAAGGAGAAGGAACCCGTCGGAAATCCGATAGTGGCTAGCCGGCGGGTGCTCCGATGAGAGCTCTGCATATAGCGTAGAGTAAGTCGGATCGGACTTGTAGCCTTTGACGAAATGCGGCTGCAAATCGTCATCGAGGTCGAATGTCGTGGTCACAATGGCACAAAAGTCGGGCCGTCGTGAGAGGGCGTCCGCAGCTCGATTGGCGGGACGGGAATGTGGCACGGGTCAAAATCGAACTGGTCGATGTAATACATCTATCGACCGATCGTGCTAGTGACCGTGTCCTGCATTTTGTAAAAGGTCAACGGATTGTTGTCCGCATTCCTTTTGAAACGTCGACGACCGAGAAGAAAGTGGCGCCACCGTTTGAGAACGGTGACGAACGTGAGTAGCTCTTTCTTCCTAGCATCGTCGAGAGTGTTGACGAGAGGCACCTTTTGGGAGAAATACTCAACCGGATGCCAACCGTCCTCGTGACATTGTTCCAACACCGCACCAATACCGTATCCCGACACGTCCGTAGTCACTTGGGTGGGTAGGGTGGGGTCGTATATACGGAGGGCAGGTGCGGCTTGCATTGTTGCCTTCAACGTAGTGAAAGCGCCACGGGCTGCATCGTCGAACTCGAAGGGCACCTTCGGGGACTGRAGTCTCGACAAAGGAGCGGCCACTTTCGAGTATGACTCCACGAATCGCTGATAATATCCAGCCAATCCCATGAAAGAGCGTACGTCCGTCGTACAACGCGGTTCCGGCCAATCCACGATGGCTTGGATCTTGTCCGCTAAGGGACGAATGCCTTTCGGCGT